GAGAAAACAGCACCCTCAATTCCTCCGAGGGAATGGGCAAGAACGGTTTAAGCCAATTTATGGTGCCACAGAGTTGTTGAAAATCGGCTAGTGCATAGACCAGCTTTGAACTAAAGGCAGGGGGCATACAGCGTACGCCAGCTGAAATGGTATGCCCCAAAAAGGCATAAGGAGGCACCTCTTGTAGCTTATCTAAGGTAATAGACAAGCCAAGGGATGTAGGCGGAAGAGCAAGTCTCTGGTTACCTTGCGGAGAAATTGTGGGTTAGGGTGGGACAACAGAATGTCATCCATATAGTGAATAAATTGTACACTATGAGGGATGGTTGAAGTGGCTCATGAGACCAAAAGCTGACAAATAGTAGGACTGTTTTATATTCCCTGGGGAAGGACTTTCCATTGATATTTGAGGGCCGGCTTGTGGGAATTCGGTTCCCAAACCGTAAAGGCAAAGTGATCATGATATTGGGGGGGGGGCAGTGGGATTGAGAAGAAGCAATCTTTAATATCAAGTGTTATGATATAATAAGAAGGAGGAATAACACCAGTGTGGGGCAAGCCGGCCTGTGTTGAGCCCATCTTTTCCTTTTGGTCATTAATGGCATGTAAGTCCTGTAAGGCCATTTTTCTTTTTAATAACGAATATTGGGCTATTATATTTACTAGTGGATGGTTCCAAATGTCCGAGGTCCAGCTGTTCCTGGACCAAATTTTTGAGGATAGGATAGACAATTTAGGTTTTATAATAGGCCACGGCTCCACCCAGATCACATCTGTTGAGAGCCAGGTAAGCACAATCGATGTGGGAGACTCCTTAGGGGATGTCCCAGGGAGGGCAGTGGCCCTTAGAATTGGGGGTGCTAGTCAGGGCTCTGATTTCTCCCAGACAGGCCAAGTTTGTCATGGGCTATGACATCATCATAAAAGGCCTGATCGTCTGTGGTAAGGACCACACCCATGTCTTCCAGGACATCTTGACCCCACAAGTTGTAGGGGATGTCGGCCACTATGGGAATGGATGTGTCCTTACTCCCATCTAAGTCCTTCCAGTGTACTGGGTGGATGACCAGCTTTGTGTCCTGGCTGCCCCCAACTCCCTTAATGAGCAGGCCAGGCCGATATTTCCAATGGGGGAACCGAAGAGACTTGCTCTTGGTGATGATGGTAACATTGGCTCCTGTGTCCACTAGGCCCTTCACAGCGATCCCATCCAGAAATAAGGTCATTAGGGGGGAGTGATTAAGAATCTGAAGGGTCCATAAAATCTGTCTTGTTTCCCCTCTTACTTGAGGGGCTGAGGGGCGCCCTGGGTGGAGTTTAAAGGAGCTGAGTCTGATTGGGGCCTCTGATTTAGGTCATCTGATTGTGACCTACAACCTTTTGCCCAATGAATCCCTTTTTGCATTTGGGGCAGCAGGTTTGGGATGAGCTCTGTTGTTTGGGAAGTCCCTGCGGAGGTGTCCTGTTATCCCGCAGTTCCAGCAGCCATCTTTTGAATCGGAGGGGGTGGGCCTTCCTTGTAATAAAAGCGCCTCTAAGGAGGTGGTCAGGGCCTCGATGGGCCCTGTCCTGGGGTCTAGGTCTCTAGGGGCGAGTACCCATTTATGAATATCATCATTGCAAACAGGTGCGGCAGCATTGTGGGTAGGGGTATTTAGGCCCTCCCATGTCAGTTGTTTGATAAGCATATCACGGGTGGGTCCAGATTCCACCCTCCATTCCACTGCTCCAGTTACACGGGTGAGGAAGTCCGTGAAGGACTCCCCTGGCTGTTGAATCAAATTGCGGAAGAATGCCTGTGGGTTATGGAGGGAGCAACACTTAAGGGCCTTGAAGGCCAGGTCACTAACTTGTTGGTAGTAAGCATGAAGGCCAATAGTGGACCGGGAAATGGGGTCAATATATTGTCCATGTCCTGTGAGCATATCCAGAGTAATATTAAGGCCACATTGAAGTTTGAGACATGCCTGATTTTAAGCCGAACGCCAGCTCAGGAAGACTGAGGGCTCCAAAACCACCTTTAATAAGTTATACCAATTGTAATGGGTCTGTAACTGCATGGCCCATTGGCAGAGAACTTGCTCAAAATATGGGGAATCGGGTCCTGACTCATTGGCGGCTTTGCAGATGAGTGCAAGGTCTGTGAGAGTGGTGGTCACCCATGGCTGTTGTGCAGCATTTGGGTGGACATTAACCAGAAAGGCAGACAATGGCTGGCAAGGGGCAGCAAGGGGTGGGTGGGCCATGGGGGAGTATAATGAGTGGGAGGTGTATCGGAGCAGGCGGAACATAGTTCCTTCCAGGGGTACTGGGGTGGCGGTGTCTCTGTTGTGGCTTTGAAAGTGGGGTCTGAGGTAGAGGCAAGGGGGCCCCTTCCTCATCTGTATCGATCTCAGGGCTGGTTCCCATATCAAGGTCAGCAGGGGTTGAAGTAATGGCAAGGTCTACACTGGCCTGATCCTGACAATGCTTATTGTGGGCTGAAATGACTTCTTCAGGGGAGGAGGACTTAAGGCTGGCAATGATGGCTAAAAGGATCGGGACAAATGAGGCAGGGGGAACAACTCCCAATCCTACTTTCCTTTTTGGGGCCAAGAAAAGGACCCACATCCATAGGTCAGGATCCCACATATTCTCAGGAGAAACCCAAGGAGCCAAATTAGTGGCTTTATCCCAGAAATTTTCAATATCTTTTGGTTTAACTTTCAGTCCCCGAGTTCTAAGGAGTGATTTGAATGCTGCTGTTTGTGGTTCCTTGTACTGTGGTGGTAAGTTGCCCATCGTGGGAAGGTCCCATGAAGGGAAACTTGCCACAAAAGTAAAAGGCAAGGGTGACTACCAAGAGGGCACAAATGAAGCAAACAACAACTGTGAGCCACTTTGACATAAACTGTCCTGACATGAAAAGATATATAGGATCCAAATGTCTTGTGTTTAGTGAGGGACTTCTGAAGGCCATGACACCTTTGGCTGTATGCTCACACAGTGTCTCTGGGACAGGCAACAGGATGACCCAAAGCCTGGGCTCTGAGTTTGGGGTGGATCAGCCTTTATGTGAACTCACTGGGACGAGCCAAGGAGTAAAAGGTGTCCATGTGGGCTTTGGAACCATGAGGCGGAGTGTGCCTTCCTGATTTAACAACAAATATGACAAACATAGTAGAGGGGACAGAGGAGGGGGCCACTTGCTCACCCTGAGAAGCCAAAGGGACAGACAAAACCCGGGGCCTACTCCTGAATGAACCAAAGTTTGGGGTGTCATTAACGCCGGGGGGGGAACCCTGTTCGGTCACCAGCTGTTGCAGGTTTCCTCGGGTCCAGCCCATGAGGGACTGAGGGAACAAGGATTCTGGCCGAGGTGGTGGTGAGCTGCATGGAGTCAACACACAGACACCGGGAGTCAGGTGGAAGCAGGCACTAGGCGAGGTGCTGCAGACTCCTTTATTGCTGGAAAGGGCAGGCCTTATATATCTCCCCCCCTGCCTCCAGTGTCCCTTAAGCTGGTGTGTCGCTCCCTGATAGATCCCCTCATCCAGGCCACTCGCGTCATCAGTCTTTAGGTCCGGGGGCACATTAGGTTGGTTCTTTTGCAGAAGCACGGGCTGCACTCTCAAGGCGGAAGCTGTGTTCTCTAGTGTGGCCTGTGCTTAGGCCTGGCACTTCCTCTCCTACAGTATGCTTTGTTGGAAGAAAGATAAACAGTTACTGCTAATGAAAATTATTTTATCTGTTCATGAATTTCTATGTTATAATTTCACATTAGTATTGCTTTTTCATGAAAATCACAAGACTAAAAATCAGAGATATACTAATCCCTTACAAGTAAAATTCCATTGATTGACTTCATGTGTGAGTGCGTGCAGAGGTTTCTGGAGTGGTTTTTTTCCTTACACCATGTGGCTTTAAGAAAATAATCAATTTTTATTTTATGTGTATGAATGTTTTACCTGCATATATGTAAGTGTACCCATATGTTCAATGCCTATGGAGACCAGAAGAGGGTGTCAGATCCCCTGAAACTGGAGTTAGGGACTGTTGTTACCATGTGGGTGCTGGTAACTGAATCCAGGTCTTTTGAAAGAGCAGCCAATACTCTTAACCAGTGAACCATCTCTCCAGCCCCACCATGTGGGTTCTTGGGATGGAACTCAGGCTTAGTAGCTTCACAGCTGAGTGGTCTTGACAGCCTAATAAGAGAATTTTTTAATTCCCGGTTTCCTTCTACAATAACATGTTGGGGTCACTAGATTAGGTAATCCATCAAGAGGAAAATCCTCTTTTGGCTCAGTGGTTTTGTTCAGAAGGAAACTGCGTGACTTTCCTGTCCAAACCAAGTGTACAACTCACTGAAGTGACATTCTCACATATTATGACATCATTGCCAAACAAGTGTGGAGAAATTGGTATAGTAACTTTGTTATCGATATAAACATATTTTACAGCTTAATGTGGCTAACGCTCCCATGGCAACAACTTAATGTTCAAAAGTTTGGTCAAGTTTCCTGGATTTTAATATGGTTCATTCTGGTTATCAGTTCTGTTTGCCTGCACAGAGTCCTTCATACCCTCCAGCATGTCCTATTTTTCTTTGCACATCTGGAGTTCTCACATTTGGGCCACCATAGGAAACTAATGAATTGTACACACTTCAAAAGGAACAAAAAATAACATGGGTGGTTTTGAAGACTCCAATGGTTCCTAAGAAACCTTGGCTTATTACAAGGACATTCCATTAAAACGCCATGCTTTGCTCCAACCTCCACACTCTGGGCAGTGACTAGCAGAATAAATATTAACAGAATCAACGAATGAATATGAATGTATAAATGAGCCAGTTCTTTGTGAAGGGCTTTTACACCCAGCAGAAGTTGGAAATCTACATTTACAGGCGGGCTCAACCAGAGTGCCTGTCAATCTCCACCAGAGGCGGGGCGGGGCGGGCCTTCTGCGTGCCTGCGGGCTAGAGCAGGCCGTCGCGCGTGTGACGTAATCACCGCGCGTCCGCGCAGGCGAGGACGTCGGGGAGCGTGGAGCAGGAGAGGCATCATGGCGGCCCCCGCCCAGCAGCCGCCTCCGTTGGCCGGCGGGAAGCGCAAAGGCAAGGCCCAGTTCCTGCCAGCCAAGCGGGCTCGGCGCTGCGACGCGGGCGGGCCGCGGCAGCTGGAGCCCGGTCTGCAGGGCATCCTCATCACCTGCAACATGAACGAGCGCAAGTGCGTGGAGGAGGCCTATAGTCTGCTCAACGAGTACGGCGACGACATGTACGGGCCCGAAAAGGTACTGGCCCTCGGGCGATCGAGCCGGCCGTCCTTCCTCGGAGAGGTGGCTCTGCTACCGCTGGGCGCACGCGCCACTTGCGGGCCTCTCCCACTTTCCCTCCCCCTGGCGTGGCCTCCTGCTCAGCCTGCCAAATGGGTGTGTGCTCGTGTGCTGGCTCTTGGGGATTCTTGCCATTTTTGATGACGGTAGCTCCACGTATTGATTGCCTCCCATGGACCGAGAACGTGCTGAAGAACTTTCCGAAGCGTACTTCTTGCGACAGTGTGAAGTTTGCCTGCAGCTAACATATCTGAGAAGTAGTGGAAGCTTATAGGAATGCTAGTTATTTCTCAGGTGCACGTAAAAATACATTGGGAAAACGAATTTTTGAACCCAAAATTTCGTTATCCTACTGCGGTGTGGAAGTCGTGATATTGGCATAAACTGATCCAGTACACGCCTGCACACCCGGAAGTGTTAAGGTTATCACAAGAGAGAGCAAAAGAAAAAAAGGTGGAGGAGGAAGGGGAATGTATAACGGTAGTATTTTGGGAGGGAGAGGGCAGTGTAGTGTTAGTATTTGGAGAGGTTGACAGGAACTGGACTATGCCCTGCCTATGCTGGTGTCTTGAGCAAGTTCTTTTTTTTTGTTATGTTTCTTTTGTTTTTGAGACAAGGCCTTGCTGTGTAGCTCAGGCCTGCCTGGAACTCTCATCCTCTTGCCTTACCTTCCAGTGATAGGTAGTGCTGTGCTTCATTTGGTGAGCACATTGCCTGTCTGCTCTGTCTATAGACATTTCTGTAAACTTTCAAATGATGTATACCACAGTCCAAGGGAGCTCATGTCTTCTTCCATAATTTGGAAGTAGCGTTTTAATCTCTTAATAAAAATGTTTATTGTTAGTATTGAGACTGCCACTGGGGGTTTCACATAAGTAGTTAGAGTATTTGAACATGAGCCATTGGGTCATTTCTCCTTATTGGTTTTGTGTCAACAGTTTATGGACAAGGACCAGCAGGCCTCTGGAAGTGAGGGAGAAGATGATGATGTGGAGGCTGCCTTGAAGAAAGAAGTTGGTGACATTAAGGCGTCTACGGAGATGAGACTCAGAAGATTCCAATCAGTGGAGAGTGGAGCAAATAATGTAGTCTTCATCAGGACACTTGGGATAGGTCTGTCTGAGACCTCTAAGATGATTGATCCCATATCTGGGCATCTGTCTCAGAGAACACTGCCTGTACAATGGCTTCATGGCTGTGGCTCTGTTAACACTCCATGGTAGCCTCTCTCTCCACATTGCATTAGTAGTATGCACATAGAGTAGGGTAGCTGCACTGGCTAAGGAGCAAAAACCTGGCTGTTTCCTTTCTTCATATGTAACTTAAGGTAGCAGGAATTCTGTCTTAAAGAGGCAGCTGCTACTTAGTTCTAGCCAGTAGTTACCATTTAGGAATGTAGGGCCAGATCTTCCAATTAATTAAAAAGATGGAAACAGAAGTCCTTTGATTTACAAATGTGATTAATTTGAAAATATTAGTACAGATTTGTATGCAGGCGGGAAGTAGCCTGAGAACCAGTGCTTCATGGTACTGTGTAGCATGGTTCTGGGATTCTTTCCAGATCTGAGAGCTGGTCTTCTGTACTCATTAGCTAGTGGATTAAATAAATCTTTGTCATGCAGGTTTTTGTTTTTGTAAAAAGTGTGCTGTTCAGTGTTTGTTACTCTAACTTGTATTACAGGAAAAAAATAGCAGAGTATTGTGGAAGTGTAAATCAGGACATCCCCAGAGCATTAATTCTGGAGACTATAAACATTTGTTTTTAGCAGTAAAGATAATGATACATAGTAACACTGAAGAAATGTTAGTTGGGAAATTTATGTTGTTTTCTGTGCTGGTTTTTTTCTTCTAGAACCTGAGAAATTGGTGCATCATATTCTCCAGGATATGTACAAAACCAAGAAAAAGAAGACAAGAGTTATTCTTCGGATGTTACCCATCTCAGGCACATGCAAAGCTTTCTTAGAAGATATGAAAAAGTATGCAGAAACATTTCTGGAACCCTGGTTTAAAGCCCCAAACAAAGGAACATTTCAGATTGTGTACAAATCTCGAAATAACAGTCACATGAACAGAGAAGAGGTTATCAAAGAGTTGGCAGGTATGTCACTCTTAGTGATTTTACGTAAATGAGTTGTGTGCTTGCTACTATGTTTAAGAATTTAATATTTAAATAGTACATGTTTCATTGTAGGTCGTCTATATCTAACTGATGTCTGTATGTGAGGTTAAGATATTTCTGGTAGTCTTTTACAAGTCAACATTTGCTTTTCTTTGGGAAAAAAAGTACAGTTATCTGCCCATAACCATGGGAGATTTGTCCACGGATCCCCTACAGGTACCAAAATTTGGGATGCCTTAAATAAATCTCCTTAAAATGGCCCATTTATAGCACTTGGGAGGTAGAGGCAGGCAAATCTCTGAGTTCAAGGTCATGCTCATCTGTATAGCCAGTTCCAGGCCAGCCTGGGCTACCCAGTGACCTATTTAGGGTAGTATTTGCATATGACTTGTACACATCCTCTTGTATATTTTAAGTGATTTCTGGATTACTGAGAATACCAAGTAGTATGTAAGTTCTATGAAAATAGTTAAGCCATGTTGTTTAGGGAATAGTGATAGTTGGTTTTCTTTTTAATCTGTGTGCATTAAATGGAGAAACTTTCCCTCAATATTTTGATCCAAGCTTGATTGACTCTGGATGTGTAACCCATGAATATAGATGGCCAACTGTACTCATATTACTGTCTCAAGGTTTGATTTGTATTTATTAAAAATATTGATGGAATTTGAAGATCATATAGAAGAGTGAACTCATATTTTAACAAATGGCAAATAGGAGTATAAACTTGTCTGTCTTCATCAAGCTTAATATCCTTCCTTAGAACAGTTTCTATTTTTGTTTCAGGAATAGTGGGCAGCCTCAATTCAGAAAATAAAGTGGATCTTACCAATCCGGAGTACACAGTGGTAGTAGAAATTATCAAAGCTGTCTGTTGCCTGAGTGTTGTGAAAGATTACATGCTGTTCAGAAAATACAACCTCCAGGAGGTAGTGAAGAGTGCAAAAGACCTGCCACAACCTCATTCAAAGCTGGGAAATGGGAAAGAAGCAAAATTGGAACCTGATGGTAAATTAAATCAGAATGATTCGACAGAAGAGAAAAATAGCCAGCAGGTGGCACCAGAGAGCAGTGAAGAGCTGGGGCAGACAAAACCCGGGACTGAGACTCAAGTGGTCAGTGAGGGAGAAGCTCAACCTGAACTTGAAAGTCACGTCTCAAAAAGGTCCAAGTCAAATGAAAATGACCTCTAGTCACTTTATGTTGGAGGTGGGTTTCTCAGCAGAGTTTTGGGACATACTACTGGGGTTTCATGTAAAATTGTGACTTAATATATGTTGACTTGTGTGCTGCTTAATGCTGATCTCACAATACTGAACAGTGATCTCTCATCCCTCTTAACAGTTTTATTGGAGCGTGTTTGGCCCCATATGACAGTGTGTACAGGCCCATGTGCAGCTGAGCAGGGGAAGGTTGCAGGAGGTGGCATTAGCCTCTACCTCCTGCTTACCTTCCCCAGTTTCCTTCTAAGCACTGCCAACTGACATGGGAATGCACAGTATTTGAGAGAACCAGAAGAGGGATTTCTTTGTCCTAAAGAAATGATGTGCTGTGCCTCAGCTACTCCCTGCCACTTCGTTGTAAACATTACAGACATGAGACTTTGCAGGTTAGAGGTGAACTGTTTGTACTTTTTGTTTTTCTTAAGTTTATTTTAATGTTTTGAGCGAATTTGCAGTTTTTGAGGAGAAGGTGTGAGATAAAGAGACCCATTCTAGGCACAGACCTATGACATTTCTGAGGAGGTTATGGATGAAGAATCTCAATCTTCTGTGTTACTTCCATATGGTGGTACAGAAGGAATGCGAAGGAATCTCTTACAGTGAAAGAAAGCAACTTCAACAGGGTTTCATTGCGACTCCTGTCTAAGCTGTCCTGTCACATCATGCTGATGTGTAGCTTATAGATGTAGTGATTGTGCCAGAATTTGGCACAGTTATTTGCCAGAAATGCTGGCTACTTTAAATAGCCTTTGGAATATCTTTTTTTTTTTTTTAAATCACCTTCAGTGAGAAGGTTTAGGAAACATGTTATTTAGTAGCAGATCTTATCCTAGAAAAGAATTGATGAAAATCGAACATTAAAATGCTGGGGTAAGTACAAGAAATTGAAACAACTTTCAGTTTAATAAGTTGATTTAAGGATGATGCTAAAGAGGTTTAGTGTAATTAAGTGAAAAACAGTAGCCTTTCTGCCTGGGTTGACAAATCAGTAGCATTAACAGTTTGTCATGCATTTGAAAGATGTGTAAAAGATGATCTAATTAAAATAACTTCTGGGGCTGGTGAGATGGCTTAGTGGTTAAAGAGGTCTTTTCAGAGGACCTGAGTTCAGTTCTCAGTACCCATGTTGGGAGGCTCACAGCCTTTTGTATGTAGTTCCAGCTCCACGAGATCCAATACCCTCTTCTCACCTCTGCAGGTACCTATATAATCATCACACACCACACACACACACACACACACACACACACACACACACACACACACACACACACACACAATTTAAAACCAAGTCTTAAGTACAATAAAGACATTCAGGTGTTGCCATGAAAACACTTGCTACTTTCTTCACAGAGATGTTAGTATAAAATACTTGGAGATGAAATAAAGGAGGTTCTCAGTTGTGCTGCAGAAATAGTTTTATTGAAAGAAAGACCCCAAGCCAAAACCTGGATCAAGAGTACATAAGTCTGCTACATAGAGAAGCCTAGTAGCTTAGTAGAGGAAGAGCTTTCAACAGGATGTTTGAGTGGAACATGAATTGCCAAGATCCTTATAGGAAAGTAGTGGGGCAGGTCTTGGCGACAGCTTCAGGCGTGAAGAATGGCTACAGAAAGTAGCCTGGTTAGCACTTACTCCATCTCGTTTAAAATGCTTATGTTTCTGTAAAAGCCAGAGAAGGGTTTTTTTTTTTTTTTTTTCCACTCAAAAGTAACAAGAATCTTAGGTTTTAGGAAGGAAATTGACTCTGGAAGGTTATTGTTGTCAAAGGAACTCTTGAAAGTTTCTGCAGCAACTCACACTTGAGAACGAAGCTATAAAAGTCTCAAGTTTTAAGAAAACCCACTTGGAAAACAAATTAAGTAGCATTTTCTCCTCTTTCCACTTTGAAGGGTGAAAGAATTCCATTCTAGTCTAACGGTTCTGCATTTTATGAGAAGACTGTCCTTCAACCTGGGACTTATGTTATACCGTGACGGTTCCTAGCAGGAGTTTTCCTGATTTTAAAAGTGCTTTCAAGAGTTCCTCACAAGTAAAGAGACTGAAGAAGGCTGGAAGTGACCAGTGAGCACTGCCACATATGCTGCCTGGACTGAGAACATTACCAGGCTGTAACATTAGTTTGGAAATTGGGTTTGTTCTTAAATCTACTTAGAACAGTTAGGAAGTAGTATGCATGTTAAGGTTCCTGGCACAAGTGGCTATGTAAACAAGTAGTGACATGAGAATTTATTTCTCCTCATAGCTAGAGGCCTTCTTGCTAAGCCAGACTAAAAGGATTTGGGGGTAGCAGACAGAACAGGTAGGACCTTGCTAATGTAGATGGGGCTCAACTTCCTTAGGTGTCTTCACATGTTAACTTAGATCTGAGATCGAAGCTGTCTTGAAAGGCTGAAAATGCTAGTATCATTTGGGGGAACAGGGAGAATTGGAGCTTGGTGCCTTCAGACTTGCTTTAAGGTAACAGCACTTTCATTTTACTGGTGGAAGACCAAGGGGCTCTGGGAATAAATTGGCAATATGCTCGTAGAATACAAAGCTCTAGAACTAGCCAGTTCCTTTGTGTTGAGAAGCTGCTGATGTACAGGAAGACTTTGAATTCTATTTTGTTTTTTATTACCTTTGGTACGTATTTGTATTTAGTAAGACCTGAGTATGACACAGGCTGCTCTGTCGTGTGTGCAGTACTGTGTGCTATTGGGCTCTAAATCCACTTACTGAGGGATTTTCTTTCAGATTTTTCAGCTTTGTTTTCACTGGTGTTTTGCATATTATTTTATAAATGGTTCCAGGGTAGGAAATGAGAGCTACTTTTTCTTAAACAAAAAATAAGCAAGAAACAATTCCAGTGTTGTGGGTTGGTGAGCTTGTTTTGCTTTATAGGTCGAAGAGTTAAACTTGATATTTTAAAACATGTTTCTCTAAGGCTAAACACAATTTTCAAATATTTTTACTTCCATTTTGTTCTCAGTACAGCCAAATGTTCAGGTTGTTTTAAAAGTTCCTAATATTTTAAAAAATCAAAATAAATGTTGTTGTCCTGTATTTTCTTTCTTCCTGTAGGAAATCTCTTCCTACATAAATAGTGCATTTATCATAAAAATGCTTTCTTGTCAGGTTATGTATTCAAAAAATTAAGACACTAAAATTTTATTCATGAATAATTTGTACTTCCAAATAATACAAATTTTAAATATTTTGCAGGATTTGCTTCAGCATGAGCACCAGTCCCGTACTAATTTCACTAAGTTCACTTACTGGCCTTTGAGCTGCTCATACTCCTCACTGTAACATTAGTATTGTAATCTGCCTCAAAATGTTGATTTCATGATGACTTAATTGAGCAGAAGAGATACTGTCTTGAACATTGATCTTAGACTAGTTCATCTTTATTTTTAATTAATTAGGAAAAGATAAATGAAGCACAGATGATTTGATATTGCCCTTCTGTCTGTAGTCATTTGACTCCAGTGCCTTTTTATAAACACTGAGAATCATTATCTTTGTTGGTTTGGTTATTATAACACACCCTGAAATATGTTTAGATTTTATTTTTTTTTTATTATTTGGCTGAGAACAAAAGAGAAACTCAGTTGCATTTTCTACCAGAAAAAGAAAAAAAAATCAAATATTAAAGCATTTAAAGAGCAGCCACGGAATTATCAGGAAGAAAGTACTGAAAGCAGCTATTTTACTATGTAGTCTTGCCATGTTCTCAGCTAGCTAGGCTCGGCCCCATTCCTGGTCTCTTAGCACATTGCGTTTGATTTTTCCAGTGATTGTCTTTGGAAGTTCTTGAACAAATTCCACCTAATTGACAGAGAAACATAGTATGAGGTGCTTGATTCCATTTTGACTCATTCCAGCTGTCAGTGCAATAGGAGAAATGGGTTATGCTCTAGATTTGAGGATTTATCAACCTGAGCTCATTCAAGACTGACAAGGGCTGGAGAGAGAGCTCAGTGTTTAAGAGCACTGGCTGCTTTTGGAGAGGTCCTGGGTTCTGTTCTGAGCATCCAATGGCAGCTGACAACTATCTGTAATTCCAGTTTCTGGAGATTTGACACCCTCTTCTGAACTCTGTGGGCACTGATACACATTTATGCAGGCAAAACATTCATACACAAAACATAAAATTTAAATACCTTAAAACAAAAATTTCAGAATAAGCAAACTCAAAAGATAACTTCTAGGATAAATAATGAGTCACTGTAAAGTTAAAGTCCAGTAACACAAATTTAACTTGCACTTGCCTTTCTTGGGTATTTGTAAGGTGCTGTTGATTTTTTCACATGATCCTGAAGTTCAATAGTTAACGTTTCAGGGTTGGAGGACTTGAAGGGTGCAGATAAAACGACAAAAGCTTTCACTACCTGCAACAGAAAAGTCGATCTGTATCACCATGTTTGCTTTTAAGATACATCAAGGATTTGAAACCATTGCTGAACACAGGCACTGACTGTTAGCAGCAGTGCAAAAGCCAGAGACTTTCTGCACAAAGCTCGGGTACAAATTCTAAAGGGAGGTTGGAAGATCTCTTTGCAGATGCCTGGACTGTGAACCTGAGGCATGCTGATTTCTATTCACATGTCACATAGGCTCAGCGTTTCCCTTTTATTGATGTTATAAGGCAGTTGTTATTTTAGAGATGAATGCTTACACCATGACACCTCTACAGTTAGAAGCATGTTGTAAGGGGAGGTTCTAGAGAATATGGCTTGAAGGAAATTTGAGACAAATATTTTATCATGAAAGATCTATTTGTAAGAGGTCTTTGTTGCCTCCTAGTTTTTCCTTCTCTTCGGAATAGTAAAGTAATTAGTTTAGTAGGCATAGTTTAAATGATTCATAATTCATGCATTGGTTCTAACTGCCATTCATTTCCAGTGTTTAGTTGAAATCAGATATTGAGAGGATAAGAATATGGTGGCAGAAGGATAATTTGGAGATTGGAAGAGTCCTGTGGAGTAGGCAGGAGGATGTCATCCATAGTATACCTGCAGGTCACTGGGATATGAGAGGGAGGCACAGAAAATGGGGAGGGTATTAATAGACAGGCTGGGTCAGCATTCCTCTGCTTGCTAAGTCTTCAGAGAATTTCCATAAGGAAAGAGAATGAGTCTCCTAAATAGACTCATGGGACTTTTTTGGACCTTGGCTACAATTTCCCATTTGTCTTATTTCTGTAAGAAAATGTATTCTGAGCTGTATAACAGTTGCACAGATGCTGACACTTGATGCTTCTGCTTATGCAGTGTCTGTTCCCCTCTTTTAATATTTCCCGAACTTCTTTTTGGCAAGCTTGCCACCAATGCTTACCTCCAACGACAGGCATATGATCCAGGTCTGGTCACTTAGCCAGTACCAATCCCTGAGCCACACTAGATAGACATGTGGTCTTAGATAGCAGAATGAGATCATGGACTTTATTTGAAATAGTTAAAAAGAGAGCTCACTCCTTTCCTACCCTAGGAAGGTGGGGAGGAGTTAAATTGTGCATCTTGAGTTGATTGCTATCAGATAAGAACCAGTATAAAAGAGCAGAGTCAGACTCAAGAGAGACTAAGCCTTGCCAACCTCACATGAATGCTTGGATACAGCTTGTACCTGAAGACATTTTACTTATAGGAGCCCCTGAGTTGAGTTGAGTTTCTATCATAGGCCACCCAGAGAATACTAATCCTCTTTGGGACACAACTCATTTGTAAAGGCCTAGGATAAGGACACTTGACTACTCTTGATTTAGTCTTTACCATGGTCAAACGGACAGAACTTGAAAATGAAATGGCTGCTGGAGTTTTGACATTCACACTACCTCTCCTCGGATCGGATCTGGGCTACTGACGACAGCTGACTCAACTACTGCTGGGTGCTCTATCAGTGCACTTTCCACTTCAAATGGCCCAATACGATACCTGCAGAGGAAAGAAAACCTTTGCTCACCACACTCCCAAGTAGATCTCCCACTTGGCCATGTCCCCGCTTTCTAAGAGCAGCAAATATACAAACCCAGAAGATATAATGACGTCATCAGCTCTGCCAACAAACCAGAAATATCCATCACTATCCATCACTCCTCTATCTCCAGTGACATAAAAATTTCTTCTTATTGTGGCATTGGTTTTCTCTGGATTATCCTAGCAATCAAGAATGGCATTGGGAATTAGTCCAGACAGAATAGAGAGAGGGTTATGGCACCCATTAAGTGACTTCACACACCCTACTTCTAAAGAAATCAGGGTTTTTATAAAGGGAAGTTCCTAGCACAAAATACAGAAGGCCTTAAAAAAAAAAAAACCCTCAGCCTCTCCTGTAGCCTCCGGTTCCCTTGTACGCACTTCCCAGCCTTTCCTAGAACAGCCACTACCATTGGAATTTAATCTTTACTGTACTCATGAAATCGATACTATTCTCCATATTTTACAGATGATGAAATAGATCTGGATTTGTCATTTGCCCAAGCTATAGCAAGACAGGGTAGATGTGAAATTTGGACATATTTCTGTATTAAAGCATGGCTAGCACTTTCTTCACATTCATACCACATATTCAGAGAAGAAGCAGAAGGGCCGAGTAGACTGGAGCCTGAGGGCAATTTCCCCTTCTTTGCCAGATGGTAGGATATTGCCGTTTTCATCTATAATCTAGGATGAAAGAAACAATTTAGGTCCTTACATTCTTCTCTTCATAAAATGAAAACAGGTGGTGAATAGTATTACAAAGAACAGAACTGAAGCATTCTCTTTTTTCTTGAATCAGGCATTTTCTCAACCCACCTGGACATCATAGGGTGATACTCCTTTCCCCATGGAGCCTGGTTTAATTTCTTGTCCTTTGGAATTTGCACAAATTATTCCCTATAAGAGAACATGCTTTATGCAAGTGTATAAATTCATTTTCTGTAGCTACATGTATCAGACAATGAAGCTTAAGATTCAGTTTGTGGGGTTGGGGAGATGGCTCGGTGTGTCAAGTGCTTGCCATACAAGCATGAAGACCCGTTTGGATCCTCAGCACCAACTTAAAAAGCCAGGTGAGGTGGTGCATTCCTGTAGTCCCAGGTCTGGGGAGGCAGACACAGGTGGATCCCTGGAGCTCACTGGCCTGCCAGCATAGCTGAATTGGTGAGTTCTAGGACCAGTGAAAGACTGTCTCAAAAAAAAAAAATAAGGTGAAGAGCAATCGAGGAGGACACCCAACATTGACCAGTAGCCTCCACATGCATACACATACAGGAATACACACACACACGCACATACACACACAAATTCAGTTTTGACTGACTTTTCCAGATATAAAAGATCATCTTCTGAAGTTTGTTATTTTAGAGCAATTATTCTCCCACTTGAATGTGCATCAGAATCACCCAGTCACTGGTTAAAACACAGATAGCTGAGCCTCACCCCCAAGGTTCCGATCCAATGGGTGTTGGGTAGGATCTGGGGATTTGCATTTCTACCAAATGTCTATATGGTATCCATGCTTCTGTTTGGAGGATCATATTTAGATTTTATTGTTAGTTTTTGAACTTTTAAGATAAGGTTTCAGGGACTCACTATATAGCTGAGGCTAGGCTTGTACTTATGTAGCTCAGGCTAGCCTTGAATTTGTAGTCCTCCTGCTTCAGTCTCCTGAGTACTGGAATTGCAAGCATATCCCACCACACCTAGCTGAGGATCACCCAGCTGAAAACCATGTACACCTTGAAATAAATGCCTGTCTCAGAAGCTCTGGGTGGAGGGTATCCTCGGTGCATTGAAAAAATGAGCAGCTCAGTTCCTAACCCCTCAGATTCCTAACACCCCTGAGCTTTCTCCTCTGAGGTAAGGAGGCAGAAAGACCAGTCACAGTTCCCCTTCAGCCAAACCCAACTGGAGAGTTTGCAAGTTTTGATAACTATTGTGAGGCAAGTTATTCTGGGAAATTCCATAAACATTTAGAACATGAGCAGGGCACTTCAAGGACTCAGTGTACAATCCTAGTGCTGAGCAGCCCCAATATTCAGCCAGCTCACCAGATCTGCACCCTTGGGTTCAAACAATCAAGGACTGGCAATATTTGATATAAACATCACGTTTGTATTGAACATATAAGCATTACTTATCATTATTGCCAGAATAATCCAGGACAACAGCTATTTAAGTAGTAGCATTTAAATAGCAATTACACACTGTCTCTGGCACTGTAAGTAATCTAGAGATGATTTAAAATATACAGGAGGGTGTGTGTTCTATGCCAATACTGTGGCATTTTATATAAGGGACATGAACATCTGAGGGTTTCAGTATTCGTCTCCTATGGCTACTGAGGAAACCTCTTCTAAAATTAAGCTATGTCCTTCAAATATACCACTTCAGTCTGTCCATAGCCCTCGTACAGCTCCAGCCCGGTTTGTGCCTTCCACTGTTCCAGCACCTCTGGGTTGAGCGGCTCCCCGCCTGTCAAGCAGTGTCGTAGTTTCTTGAAGTTATATCTGGAGAGACAGAATTGCATGTGGTCTTTGCTGGAAAATCATGTGGGAGTGAATCTTACCACAAGGTGATTAGGGTGCTCAAGCAACAAAAAGAGCGAGGAGAAGCAGGCCTTAGCAATGTTCACTCCCTCAGTATTTGCTGAACACCTACCACACTGCTGTTTATTGTTCTAGTCATGTTAGGCACATGAGTGATGAAAGCAAGATTTCCTGAAGGAGCTTATGTTTTGGATGTGGATGACTTACAGGAAAAATAAAAAGTAGAGAAAAATGTCAAATGAAATAATAATTCAAGTTATTACATTTATGAGATAAATGATGTAACACGGCAGTGGCTGTGTGATAACGGTTTTAGGAACACTTAGAATGCTCATAGCTTCTATTTTACAGAAATGGGGAAACTGAGGCCCAGAGAGGTGGAAGGACTTCCACAAGACTTCCCAGGAATAAAGGGTCAAGCCAGATACTTTTCCCGCCAGGCATGTCACTTACACTGAGTTCTTGCAAGTCTCGTGGATGAAGTTGATGGAGGCTTAGCAAGGTCACCTCGAATGGAGGTTATACACTGTTAAGTAGCAAAGCTCTGCCTGCTTGACTTTAGAGCTTGAGCTTTTAACCAGCCTGGAGCAGCCTGACTCTTATACATAGTAGACCCTCAAATGGGTAGGAGGCTATGTGGGCAGAACGTACACTGTGTGTATTCAAGTTACCCTAAGTGGCTTTTGGGTTATGCTTGAAATATGAGCAAGCTGTTCACATGTTGAGGGCCACAAGGGGGCGACACCGACCCGGAAGAGAGGGGATTCCTGTCTGCTTCATCCTAGCTCTCACAGCACATCCTACCCTGGGCATCCATACCTCAGTGGGAATAGAGGATGGCCAAACCTACATGACACAAATCATTTCTCTCTCTTCTCATGTGCTGAACTGAATTAATTATATAAAAAATACCTGGCAATTCTATCTGATGGGTAGATGATTTCACTGAAACACACAACCTTTAAGTCATAAACTTCATTAGCTTCTCTTCAAAGCTGTATGCATTTTTTTTCTTTTTTGGGGGGACAATGATTTGTTACATACTTATTTGTGTGTGTGTGCACGTGTGTGTTTGTGCATGCATGCGTGTACGTGTATAGTGTGCATGTGTACACATGCCAAGGCATGCATGTGGAGGTCAGATAACTTGTGGGAGTCAGTTCTTTTATGCCACCATGTGGAACCTGGGAATTGAATTCAGGTTGTCAGGCTTTGGCAACAAGCACCTTTATTTGCTGAGCCATTTTGCTGACCCAGGACAATGTTTCTTCGAGTGGTACTAATGGATACCTTTTAAAAATTTTCTTTGTTATTTTTATTTTTTATGAGTATGAGTATTTTGCCTGTATGTATGTAAGTGCATCTGTGTCATGCAGTGCCCGAAGAGGTCAGAGGGAAGCATCAGATCCCATGAAACTGTAGCTACAGACAGTTGTTAGCCACCATGTGGGTGCTGGGAATCAAATCCAGGTCCTCTAAAAGAGCAGCCATCTAAAAGATGCTCCTGATGACTGAGCCATCTCTCTAGTCCCATGGATACATTTTTTTGGGTGAGAGTTCTGGGACCATTAGGGGTCTATCCCTGGAGAAAATGTTCAGCTGCCTCCCCCTAAGGAGATCCCAATGGTTCTCTCTCCTCTCTCTCCTCTCTCCTCCCTCTCTCTCTCTCTCTCTCTCTCTCCATGTTCACATGGGCGTGGGTGTATATGTATAAATGTGTGTGTACAGGTATCCATGTGCATATGGTGTATGTGTGTGTGTAGGTTAGAAGGTACCTTCCACATTTTTTTTTTGAGAGAGGGTCTTTCACTGGCTCAGAACTCATCAAATAAGCTAGGCTGGATGGTCAGTGAGCCCCAGTGATTCACCTTTCTCTGCCTCTCCAATGCTGGAATTGCAAGTGTGTGCCACCACACCTGGCTTTTTCTGGGGCTCTGGGGCTCGAACTTGGGTCCTCATGCTTGTGTAGCACTTTGCTGCCTGAGCTAGCTCCCCAACCCTCCCAGTGGTCCTTAAACTGGGATATGATTTTGCCCCTGTAAGATAGTAGACAATTTTTAGGGCATTTTGATTGTTATGAGTGAAGGGGAAAGGGAGGGAGGGAGGTACTACTGATATCCGGCTAGAGCATTATTTGGTCTGGAATGTCAGTAGTAGTGAGATTCAGAATCTTTGGGCTATCCTCTGATGAAAAGGGGAGCTCAGTAGTTCTGGATGATAGCTTCCATTCGTGGTTCAAATGAAGATTTCCACCCAATACCTTTTGAGGTCCTTTTGTACAAGCATCCGGTACACGGTAGGAGCACTGCACAGGGTTGTGATGGGATAGGTGGTAAGTGTCTGAATGATGGAGAAAGACAGGCACGTCAGAAGTGGTCAGCTAGAGGCCATGATAAGGTCTGGCCTCTACAAACCCTCTTTTACATTTGTATCTGCTCATCACATTCAATAAAAAAGCAGATAGTTACCAGTTGACATCAGTTACATATGTTAGGGATTTATAGCTACTGGAAAGGGAAGTCTATATAGTCCAAAAACAAGCATCCACCATCAGATTCAATAGGCATTTCTATAAAGGACAGCAGGCCTTTAGAGAAGATTGAGTAAATGCAGAAATGGGTATTTTTTGGAGGACTTAATGGCTTAAAATTTGCTAGACTTGTTATACCTCTAGTCCCTTAAACCAAACATTTAAGTCTAGTAAAATACTCATCCTCTTTCTGGAGGTACAAGTTCTGTAAAATTCCACCGTATCACTTAATGCATTTACAATTTACATTAAACTATTAAATTTAAGCCTTTTTAAAAAATGTCAGGGTCACATTATGTAGTCCTGGCTGGCCTAAAACTTGCTATGTAGACCAGGCTGGCCTTGAACTCACAGAGATCCACTTGCCTCTGCTTCCCAAGTGCTAGGATTAAAGGTAGGTACCACCACACCTGGCTAAATGTAAGCATTTTTTAATAAGAATCTCTAGATGTGTGCAGGCCATCTGGATCATCATAGATCAAGAATAACTTAATTTATAATTTAATCAGCCTTTCTACTCCATATACCTGCTTCTGAGTTTTTAATTATTGTTAGTGAGTGTAATATATCTAAGAACAGTGTAAGTCTATAGAGGTTTCTGTTTCACCTAAATATGTAAACTATCTTTGTAAAATAAAAAATTCTTATTTTACAAATGAAAGAACTTGTAGAGACTACAGTTCTTATGTCACCCTCTAATTTTTCTTAAGACTCTCAGACCAGTTAACAAAAATCATAGAATTAATATAGCTTTTATTCACACACAGGCAGGGTGCATATGTGTTTCATCAAACTTAATTGATTTTTCAAGGCTGAAAATGGCCAAAGCTATAAATTTTTTAGTATGTAAATTTGCCTTTGTCTTTAACAAAGATTACCAAAAGATTGTTTTAAGATAAAATTTTTATGACTTATTAACAGTAAATATTTGACTTGTATACCTGTTTAACATACATATGTACCCCTGGGCTATAAAAAAAATTTGGGATAAAAAGGGGTCAGAGTGGAAACATTCAAGAAGCCCTGGTTTATGGGGACAATAATGTCATATATATTATATATAATAGGTATAATCAAATCAAGGCAGTTAGCATGTCTATATATTTACAAATATCATCACTTCTATATGTTGAGACTATCCAAACTTCTCTAGTCATTTTGAAGTGCATTATTCTGTTCTGTAGCCAGCTTGCTGTGTTATCAGACATCTCTGATGGAGGAAACACATGCCTGGTTTGCAGAGGAGTCTAGGAGTCTATGAACTATAATGAAACGGACAGAAGTGGGGGAGGAGAGACAGAAGGGGAATGGGAGGGGCTTCTCTGACAGCAGGTTGACCCCTTGTGATCATCTACTGTCTTTTCTCCATCTGATCAGAAACAATATATTTGTTTAAACCTGAGACTTCTATTATTTAGACCCAGGCTCCTAAGCAGCCACTTTCCAGCCCTATTAGTGAATCCTGAGTGACTTACAGCAGCAGCCTGCATTTCCCACTGAGTGTGTGGTTGATTCCTTCCATGGGCAAGCATTTAGAGGTCAAGTCCCTGAGACTTCGCTACTTAAATTAAGAATGGTTTCCAGAAGATAGGGATGTCTTGGATTCTGAAGAATCATTTCTATTTTGTTTTGTTTTGTTTCTGTTTTTTGAGACAGGGTCTCCCTGTAGCCGCAGCTGGTCTGGAACTTGCTGTGTAGACCAGGCTGGCTTTGTTCTCACAGAGATCTGCCTACATCTAGTGGGATTAAAGGCATGTGCTACTATGCATGGCCTGAAGTATCACTTCTTTATGGTTTTGTGGGACAGAGTGGGGGAGAGCTAATGATTTATGCAATTGGAGATCAAGACTTACATCTAGGAAGGTGTCAGTGTCAAACTGGGCCATCCGATGCACAAAAACACAGGCACCGCGAAGCCAAGTAGAAAACACACTACCAATGGCAGCCTTGATCCAGCCAGTGTCTGACATGTTCCACATGACATCTGAGGATGTCAGGTCCAGCCAATATCTAAATGATTAAAAAAAAGCAACAAAACAGTGTAAGAATAAATAAATAAAAATGAAAATGAAAACAAAACCAAAAAGCAAACAGTGTTTTTGATGAGTGGCCTTGACCTACAATCTCATAAGTTAAAGTGTCAAATCAAGGTGCAGGATTCTACTCCCCATTCTTAGAAGGATTTTTCACAACCTTGTGACATCTGGGATTAGAGTGGGAGGCTGAGTTTACATGCTGTTCTGAGTTTGCCAATTGATACAAATATTTAATGAGCAAATATTATGTACTAGGTACCGTTCTCAAAGAGTACACAAGATAGATCTCTGCATTTATTTTAGGGAGACTTGTGGGAACAAACCCACAATAACAAGCCCACAACAAGTTCACAATAATAAGTGAACTAAGTATATAAATAAATACCATGTCTTACTTTTTCTGTTGCTGTTATAAAATACTCTAACAAAAACAACTCAAAGGAGAAAGGGTTAATTCTGGCTCACAGTCCCAGGGTACAATTTGCCATGGTGGGGAAGTCATGACTACAGGAACTTGAGGGAACCAGTCACCTTGTGTCCATAGTCAGGAAGCAGAGAGTGAGGGATGCTTGTGCTCAGCTCATCTTTTCCTTTTTATACAGTAGAGGATCCCAGCGCAGGGAATGAGGCCACCCACAATGGGTGTGTCTACCTCATTTAAATGTAATCAAGACAGGCCTTACAGGAATGCCTGGTGGCAGTCTCCTAAATGATTCTAGATTGCATCAAGTTGCTGATTGAGATCAACTGTCGCATATCATAATATCAAGTTACATGTTATGAGGAAACTTACACAGAGAATGTGACTATTTTAGGCAGCCTTTCTTTTTGAAAGGCCCTTCTGGGTAGACAAATTCACCTGGCAATGAGGAAGGGGGGCAGACATGCTAGGAATCAAGTTCTAATCCTAACTTCTTGCTTGATCAGTTAATTAGATAGCATTATTTACTGAGCTAGGGTAGGAAAAGAGCATCAAGAGTTCTGTTTTGGGAATAGAGAGAATACTAATGTAACCTTCAACTCTCACCAGCAAAGCTTCCTCATGCAACAGAGGGCAATGTACACAGAAGGCCATAACTGGATAAGGTGTAGAGAATAAGAGACTGCAGAGTGCACGTCCCTGAATAGGACTCCTGTATTAAACTTCATATACCTGTGTCTCGGGGACCATTGAAGAACAGGGAGGAAAGATTGTAAGAGCCAGGGTTGGTGTATGAGCACAAGGAAACAGAAGCTTTCAGGCCTGTGGGAACTTGCTCATAAGAACTAACAACAATGGTGACAGCATGCACAAGGCCTATGCTGACTCACTCAGCCAAAATCCCAGCATAGAACTGGGGAAATGCGCAGCAGGCCCCAACCTTAGCTGAAGAACTATTGGCAACTGATCACTGCTGGGTGAGGGAGAGTAGATTTTCTTTAAGGAAGTGACTCTAGGGAGGCTGACTAGACTCCAGTGGATGAACTTGCACTGAGGGACATCTGTGTACAAAAGGTTGCCCAAATAGGTCTTAACATACATGGAAGAATGTACGAAATCCAGTGGGAGGGTATGAGGGAGTGTGAATGGGGGAGGTCTAAATATGATTAAGATTTATTGTATGAAATGCACAAAACACAATAAAAACATTAAAATATTGTATGACAATTTCAAAAATTCAATAAAAGTTTTTTTACTTAAAAAATTTTATTTTTATTTTATGTGTATGTGTGTGTTATCTGCATGTAGGTAAGTGCACCTGTGTCATGCAATGCCCACGGAGGTCATAAGAGGCTGTCGGAGCCCCTGGGACTGGAGCAATGGACAGTTGTTAGCTGCTGTGTAGGTGCTGGGATTCAAACCCAGGTCTTCTACAAGAACAACCACTGTTCTTAACTGCTGAGCCATCTCTTTAGCCCCCAATAAAAATATTTTAAGTGGAAAAAAATAGTGGATATGTGCTAGAGATATCTTAATAGCCATTCAAAGAGAGGCGTCACTTCAGTAGTGAACACCTACATGGGCAGCTCAGGAGAGAGTGCATAGAAAGCAAAGAAACCTGGTGTGATGGTTCACGCCTGTAATACTAACCTTTAGGAGGCTGAAGCAGAAGGATTGCCATAAATTGGTGGCCAACCTGGCCTACATAGTGAGTTGTAGTTCAGCCCAGGCTATAGTGTGAGACTCAGTTTCAAACAAATAAGAACAAAAAACCCAGACTTTGCCTCCTACCTTCCACAAAGGGCATACCCAATGCCAAGGCTGCTTTGTGAGTGCTGAGCCATCTTAGGGGAGCCTGTGGTCCCACTGGTGAAATAAATGGCCATTGGTTCATGACTTCCTGTTTCCACACAGCTGTGTTCTTCAGAGGCAGATCTGCAAATGGATCCCAAGATAGTGGCTGAAGACTCAGATCAGTTAACTCTTTGTTAGTCTTGTTCTGTTACATTTTTTTTTCTTACCACAGTTAATGCAACTGATCCGAAGCTGAAGCTTCCCTGAACAGAATCCTTCAAGAAATCTTAGAGGGACTTTAAAAATCAGAGCTAAGATTCACCAGCTTAAAATCCTCTTTTTTAAAAGCTCATCTCCCATAGGTCAAATAGATAACCAAAGTTAACTTTCAATGTCAATAACAAAAGCATATGCATTTTATTTAACTATCTTATTAGTTTATGAATTAAAAAAATCAGCAGTAAGTCTTTGTAAATTGATACCATTTCAAGATTTATTTCTTAGAGGAAAGTCTTTAGATAATTTAGATATTAGAATCAAATACAATTAGATTAAACTTTTTAATATACATTTTTTGGTTTTGTCTTTACCTGGCTTTGGTATTAAAGTGATGCTGGCTTCATAGAAGGAATTTGGAAGTTCTCCCTTCATTTCTATCTTTTTGAATGAATTAAGTAGTATTGGATGTAGATCTTCTTTAAATGTCTGATAGAATTCTGCTGTAAATCC